GTGTGTGGTGTGTGTGTTCTCGCAAAAAGTAGAAGAAGCTCTCAGTAGACTGTGAAGTAGAAGAAGTGACTAGGTAGTGAGACTGTCGGGGTACCAAATGATCGGACAGCCAAAAACTTTCTGGACTTTGCCCAGATACTCGTATGTTGCTGCTCATCGAGCTACTGATTTCCAGATATGCAGAAAGCACATGAAAGGGGCTGATGGCGGTGTTGTGGTGGTGGGGGTGGTCGGGGTGGTGATGATCGCAGATGATGGCTCGGCTCAGAAGAGAAGAGTGCACTTATTACTGGACTGAAGTTGAACAGTGAACACTCAACAGTGACCGTAATAACGATACAAATGACCACTTTACAGTGTAAAGTAATTGGTAGTCATCGTTTAAAGACGCCGCAGCTCAAAGTGCAGGTCGCGCTGGTCATGTGTGGGCACTGAGTGTTTTTGAAAAAGAGTTAAAGACTATGAAAATGAAAAACAAGTTTGAAACAGTACTAAAACAAAACAAAAGAGTAGAGTGATAGACGGATAACATCGAATATAGCTAGTGGGCATAACGGACAAAAAAGATGATGGCGGTGGTGATGTTCAGTGAAGGGTAAGGGAAGCTGCCGGCGATACTTATGCATAGCACAATGAGAGAAAAAGAGAAAGGGGGTTTAGCTGCACTCGAAGGTAAACCAGAGCGAATAAAGCAAAACAAAAAAGCAGTGGCACCTTAATTTGTTTGGCACCTCTTGAAAGGGAGAAGTCATCAGTGAGTTAAAGAAAGCCCCACCACCGCCACTACTACTACTACCACCACCACCACCAGCACCTCCAGTTCAGTAGCACAGCAGTTCAGCAGCCATCGATCAATCAAATCTGTCTGGCGGTGAACAATGGGACAATATAAAAACAGAACCAAACTGATAGCAGCAGTGTGACAAATATAAAGCCGAATAACAGTGTGTCCCCTCTACGACGGCGACTTTCCAGAATACTGGTACAGCAGTGCAGTAGTACAGTAGTATAACAATTGCTTAACGAGTAAAGAGTATAACAGGGAAAAGAAGAGAGGAAGAACAACAACAAGAACAACGAAAAGGGAGAAAAAGTGTGTGTGTGGGTAACGTGAGTGTGTAGATGATGAAAAAGGAGAAAAAGAAGATATGTCAATATCGCAAACTAGCTGCTGCTGCTGGCTGTGTTGGTGCCCTGTTCCCTCTTTTGCTATCCCTTTTCGATGGCGTTTCATGTGCTGATGTTGACTTTGCGGTCAATTGGACTGCAATTGTGTGTGTGTGCAGGGTGCAGCTTTCACTCTTCGGTCTCTGCTGGCGAGGAGGGTGCATCCTCGTCGTCCTCCTCCTCCGCCTCTGACAGCTTCTCATCAGCATGTTGTTTTGCCTCTGTTGTGCCACCCAATTTGGACAACGAAGGAACAAAGGAAACAGGGAAGAACATGAGCAAAAGGACAAATAAAAATTTGTTAGTGCCATCGAGGTGGAATGAAAATAAAACGGAAGGGCAAACACAGACAGAGGGGCAACTACAGTGGAACGACTACCGACGGCTAAACAAACTTGCACACAATCTGTGCCCTGGGAGACCCTCACCTTCTGCCGCCTTCAGTTGCCAAAGGTTCTTATTCTCCTCTAGATGCTTAAGCCATGGTCGATGAAGCTTTTTGAACAGTATCACAGGCGCTGAACATCGAGTGTAGGCAGGAGCACTGGAAGTGTTTCTGCAGAATCAGAGAGAATGGAGGAAGAAGAAGAAGACCGCCAAATTGGCAAGAGTCAGAATTCAGTTAAGCGTAAAGAGTGCTGCTGCTGCAAGTTTCGCCCCAAGGCAAACGCAACCGAGCAGGAGCAGCAGGAGCGTAAGCGTACCGGGACGTGTTTGAGGAGCTCGGTGGCCCCGAGGAGCCGTTGGCCTTAGCGGTGGCCGTCGAATCGGCGGATGACTGTGAGCGAGCCTGCGACTTTGTCTCCGCAGCCAGCTCTGCTACCTGGTCGTCGGCAGCCGCCTCGCTGGCCGCCGCAGCCGCACTGACGTTGATGTGCTCGTGCACGCGCTCAATGAGGTCGCCGCACAGCTCCATTGTCGGCGCCACGATAAAGTCGATGAAACCTGGTAAGTTGTGCAGGGAAATGTGCAGGTAAAACAGACACAGACACAGTGACAGTGCAGTAATGAACGGAAAGGGGAGAGAGAGAGAGAGNCCGCCGCAGCCGCACTGACGTTGATGTGCTCGTGCACGCGCTCAATGAGGTCGCCGCACAGCTCCATTGTCGGCGCCACGATAAAGTCGATGAAACCTGGTAAGGTGTGCAGGGAAATGTGCAGGTAAAACAGACAGACACAGTGACAGTGCAGTAATGAACGGAAAGGGGAGAGAGAGAGAGAGAGAGGAAAGTGTTAGTGATAATAGTAGTGATGATGATGGTGACGGCGGCAATGATGATCATCACCGGCACCAGTGTATAGTGAGGCTGTGTGCAGCATAGCAGTGCATACGTACCAATCTGCGACTGAGGTATCAGCGTGGAGTTACGATCGCAGAGGGGTGAGTAGGCGAGCCCCAGCTCTTGCTCCATGTCGCCCTGTACACAATGAGATGGAGAAGGAGAATGAGAAGAATGTCGTGACAGAACAGTGGCTGGTCATTAGGAACGGCAATGCTAATTTATCGACACACCGTCCTCGTCGTACACGGCGGAAGGGAGCGAACAAGATCCAAAGAAAGAGAGCTATTGCCGCTACTGCTGCCGCTGCTGCTGCTGCCTCTGCTGAAGTGCCAGCCCGATGCAGCAGCAGCAGCTCATAAATAATTAAGCCCGAATTAGGCGCTCGCGGACGGCTAATGGCTGGCGCCTCTCCGTCTCCGTTCACTCTCTCGTCAGTCTATTACTGAGACCATGCCGAATGGACGGCGGGCACCAGTTGGCAGTGTACTTGGTAGTGGGCAATCATAAAAGTGCCGATACTGCCTGCCTGCCTCTTCTACTCCACACAAAGCTCGCTCAAAGCACATCTAGGCACGAATTTGGTGTTGCTGCTGGCTGCTGCAGTGCTCGGTTGAGGGTTCTTCCACTGCAAAGTGAATGTGAATGGCAATGAGCAAAATCAAATCGAAAAACCTAGAGTGCCTCCAAAAGAAGTGCAATGAAAATTTAAATTTCCACTTTCAGCGTCTCTGACTAACTGACTGCTAGTGCACTGGCACTGGAAAACTGTGAATGAAAATGAAACAGCACATAAACAACGCACAGTCGGACAGTTTTGGGGTGAAAGTAAATCAAAGAGGGAAGAGAAGGGGAGAAGGGAAGAGGGAAGAGGGGTTAAACAGCATTTGACACGCACTGCTCTAGCATCTCCCCACTGATGCTAGACCATTCTAGTTTGTGCACTCCTTACAGCAGCTCCTAATGTACTGGAGTAAATGCAAACACACACACACACACACACTGACAAACTGCAAAACGGCCGCAGTCGTGCATGACCACGTCGCTGACGACACATTCAGCTGACGATGCAGCATTGCAGAAAATGTAGCTCTTAGCAGTGTTGCAGTAGTAGTAGTAATACTATTCCTCCTCTCGCGTACCTGACGGAAAAACTCCTCCATCAGCAGCAAGGTCCATCGCTGGTGCAGCGGAAACATTTTGCTTGGATGCGAAATGTCCGCACTGTGCAGTATGTAGGACAGGCCCTTCTGCTTATCCACAGAAAATTCTGTGTGCGACAGTAGCGTCTTCAGCGTCTTCACTTGTTGAAAGTGCGTCGACATGTCAGTGGCAATGACCATCTCAATTATAAGAGTTCGAAACTCGCTGTAAAAAAGCACAAAGTCAAAATTAGAATTACAAAATGAATAAATTAGACATCAAAAACAGCAAGTGTAACACAATTACCGGTACTCCTCTCGACTGAGATTTTGAATGATGTTTGCCTCATCCTTGCGCATCACCTTGAAGGCCTCAGAGATGTGAAAGTTCTCCAGCACCGAGCGGTCATTGTAGAGTAGCGTAATGTCAGAACTGGTTTGAGGTGAGTGAGTGAGTGAGTGAGCAAGGGAAGGAAAATGAAAGGGAGAAGAGAAATGGAAAAAACGGAAAAAGTGGCGCCGGTGAATGGAATGAATAATGAATTGAGCGGCGCATGCATTATTGAGTCAGCAAGGAAGCAAGCAAACACCGGCCTTACTTGGAGTTGATGTGAAAGTTGTTCGTTGTGCCCGTGTGCTGATAATCGTGAATTATAGCGGCTATCAGTGTCGCAAACACCTCCAAGTCCGTGAGCCATTGCTGAGTGGTGGTGGTTAAGGAAAACGAGAGGGAGCGAGGGAGGGAGAGAAAAGAATGCAACTAATTAATGGATGCTCTTTGGCCAAGAGAGGAGGACCGGAGCACTCACCGCCAGCCCTGTGACCCAGAGCATGTAGTGGACGGTTTGTGTGACGTCGGCGGCGTGCAAGTTATTGTGGTACGGGTTGCCGTACTTCATGTACCCCTGTTCTATTGCAGAGAGAAAGCCGTCCAACTGGCTGCTGGGAATCTGCAATGGTGGAGGAAAAAGAAGAATAGCAAACAAAATGAATCATCACTCTCGCTCTCATCATCACCACTATGACCATCTCTTGCAACGCATACCTTGAACTTGTGCACCAGTCCGTAGCGGTTCAAGAGTTCGGCACTTAGGTTTCGCAGCACCTTGTTGGGAGAGAGGACGTTCAGCGCAAAGACGTCAAACGACCACTCATCGGCAGCCTGAATTGAAAGTAAACATTTCATTGAGAACAAAAGTCAAACACCGCCACACAAGCACACTCAAAACGAGGAGATGGTGCTTACTTTCAGAAAAGTGGATACTTCCGGTGGAATGCCAATTGCAGTGACGTTGAAAAGTCGCCTATAGATTCTGTAGTGAATAGTTGCAGTTGAACAAAATGATATTTTTTAGCCTCAATTAATATCAGCACCAGCACTCTTCACGTTACCTGTCCACCATGATGCCTGCTCTGATGGCATTGGCCACCGAGCGGAACTTGGGCTTGTCATCCGAGCGCGGCTTGGTCGCTACCTGACTCCGCGTGAACGTCGACGCGAGCCACTGGCGAACCTCATTGGGCACTGCATCAGGCTGCACCTCGGCAAGTTCATCCTCCTCGTCCAGTAGTCGCCTGCAGTCAAGTGGGGAAAAGGGAAGTTAAATACAAATCATCAGTTTTAAAACTAGAAATAACTAAAAGAGGAAAGAAAGAGGATTTTCAATGCACTAAACTAGAGATTGTTAGTTTGTTTTTTAGAGTCAAGCAGCTGAAGAGGGGGTGGGCAATTTTAGAAAGAGTTATTAGAACAGTGGTACTATGAACCTTTGCAGTGAGTCAGCGGTACTGTCAGACAATCGACCAGTGGAACTNCTAGAGATTGTTAGTTTGTTTTTTAGAGTCAAGCAGCTGAAGAGGGAGTGGGCAATTTTAGAAAGGGTTATTAGAACAGTGGTACTATAAACCTTTGCAGTGAGTCAGCGGTACTGTCAGACAATCGACCAGTGGAACTGACTGTCGTTGCTTCTTCAATGGTGGCCTCAGTCTGCTTTGGATCGACCTGCGTGAGGATGACCCTCTTCACCGAGTCAGTGCTTGACTGAAGCTGAGCTGAGGTGGTGTTTCGAGAGTGGGGAGAGTGCGGACGATGGGATGATGATGATGATGGCGCATGAGAGGGCGGCGGATGATGAGGCGGATGGTGGTTGTGCTGGCTGTGACTGTGGCTCTTCTTTGAAGCTGGGCTGATGGAGGTTGTTGAAGTGATGGAGGTAGTCGAGGCTGAGGTAAGTGGATCGGCGACGACTGCTTTGGCAGAGGCGGTAATGGACACTGGTAGCGTTGCCGATTCCAGGGTTGATGGCACCTCGACACATGATGATGAGGATGAGGATGAATGGCTCGGGGGCATGATGATGGAGGATGTTTGTGCAAGAGGAGGAGGTGGCAAAGGCGGTGGTAGTGCCTCGCCCAGAACAAGGGGAGGAGGAGGTGGTGGCGTCGGACTCGGCCTCAGTGGTTCTTTCTTGAGCTTACACCGTCTAGAGGGGGGTAATTTTAGATGGTTCTTTTAGAAATGATGATATTTAGAGACTTGCTACTAATACTACTAGGTATAGGTTCGATTTTAGGTTTGCTCAGGATGCGTTAGAGGGAACGGTGGTACAGCCGCCTTAGCAGCGGCACTCTGACAGATGACACCGTTTTGGATTGAGGCACTCACTCAGAGTGCATTGGGATGGCGGCAAAAATGTGCACCTACCTGGTCTCATCCATGCTGACGGTGTCCAGCACGTAGGCAGCGTACTGTAGGGTCTTCTGCAGCACCGAGTTGGGGATGTCGCCATGTTCCAGGTGATTGGCAAGTTCGCGAAGTCTG